TAAAATTATCTCTATTAACTAACTTCATAATCATCTTATTCAATTTTTTTGATATTTTCGCTGATATATCAACAGGACAAAAGTTATATGGTGAATAGAATGTTTTACTTTGCTTTTTAACTAACATATAATTATTTTGTCCAGAAATAGAGGAAACCAAACTAAGAAGAACATAAAGACGGCCCTGGTTTATACGACGCTTTTTATTAACTAGCTTTTTAGGTAGTATTTGTTTGTGTTTAATTGTATGCATATTCTAGTAAGTAGCTAAGCCTGCATCAAATTGAGTTTTGCCAAGTTCACTCTGAACTAAAATTCTCGAAAAACTTTAACACCATATAGACATTCAATAAACTTCACAACAGTTTGGATTCCACTACTTCGTGCTTCTACAGTCTTATGCATCTGCTCTGTAAGATTGTTTGTCATCATTGGCTTTGAATTAATTGGATTATTTATTTGTGGTATTTGTCCTCCATTGATAAAGCTTTTTCTCCATCCATCACAAATCTAGTTTATTTTTAAATCATGTTTTAGGTAGTCTTTTATGTTATTATCAAGTGGTAAAGAATCAATAAAATTATTATATTTTTTTCCTATTTCAATAGCCTCTTCTTCTGATCTGCATCGACCTACAATTTTAAAAGCAAGTGCTATCAGATATCTTAATGACCAATCTACCTTCCACATTTTCAAATGTTCACCTAAAATAGCTATAATATGAAACCAGCAAAGAATTGTACCACGAGTAAGATTCTGTAATGCAAGTTTAGTAGGTCGATGCTTATCTATCATATCCAATGGATTCCAGTTAGAGATACACTCAACTTGATGTTGAAACCCCATTCCATTTGGTAAGTTAGTATATTGATAATGATACATACAGGTAGAGTTATTACATGGAATGTTTACTTTTACAGCTTGCACTACTATTCGTATTATGTGATAGTTCTCTTTATCGCTAAGTCCAAATACTAGGGGAGATCCATATCCAGCTTGATCTTTAATGACTATAGCAAGTACAGGTGCCTTTTCATTATTCAAGTCATATTTTCCATCTATCCCGAAACAAAACTGACCATAATTACAGCCTTGTTTAAGCCACATCTCATCGCTCACTGTTAATTGATAATATCGTTCAGAGCTATTTTCAGGAGCTAAAATATTACCATGTTGATAGTAAAGCATCTTGCCTTGCTCTTTTAAAGTTGTAGTAACCAATTGATCCAAAACAGTCCATGGACCAATATTCTCACGCAATTGAATATCATCTCATTCAATTAATCTCTTTAGTTGTTGCTCTGTACATAGATCTTTACTTGTCTTGTGTAGATGTGTAAGATGAGCTTCATTTGTATTATTGTGTGGTGCTAATATTTTCATAGTAATTTCTACTTCTGTATCATGATGTGCACGATGTGCAGCTATTATTTTATCACGAGTTTGAAGGCTAAGGTTAATTCTTGTAAATTTGGAATCCAGTATTATGAGAACAGCTGTTCTATGTATGCCTTGGATAATTAGTTGCACTGGTAATGGATCTTCAACATTAGAAAGCATGATTTTT